CATAACAACTAACATTGCTTTGAAAAATGATTATTTATTTAATGAATTTAAACTGATTTAAAATCTTCAAACCATAAATAAAATAATATTATTAAATAAATAAATTTCTATCTAACTAGGAATATTGAAAAGATTAAACTCTTTGTATTTAAAAAATAAAGATAAATTAATTATATCAGTAAAATTCAAGACTAATTAGAATATTTTTATGAAGATTAATTAGTCTGAAATTTTGTTTTGATGATTTTTAAAAATGGTTAATTATTTAGAATCATAAAAATTGTTGATTGCCGCATAGAAATTCAATTTGAAGATGCAAAGATTTATGTATATAAAAATAATCATTTAATATCATCATTTTTTAAAAGTTGGTAAATAATATTTATCATTTATATCTAATGATGAATCTCTATTTAATCATTATGTTTAATAATTATTTTTTCTAATTAGTTTTCATTAACTTTATTTCAAATTTCTAAGAAGTTACTATGTTGGCTATTTTGAATGCTATTTATTAGGAGTTTTGCTCGTTAATAAGTAATTGATATTGATTAAGGAGATAAAGCCCCTTTATGTAGATTAAATTGATTAATATTCATTTTTCAATAAAACAATGTAAACATTTTAATTTATAAATCGCAATCTTTCTATTAAACCTCTAAGAATTCTATTCTCATTCACTTTTTTATAAACTCTGTCAAAATGTATTATCCCATAATTTGCTTGTAAGGTAAACATTCAATTTGGATAATAATATTATCAATGTTAATCGCTAGACATTTTTACTAATTCATTGTGATTATCTTTGATTTGTTATTATTTCTTATCAGATGTTTCAACAGCTTTTAATTACAATTCATTCGATAATTAAATATCTACCAACTTTTTCTTTTTTATTTGTATGTAGCAAGTAAGCTCAGATATATTAATTAGTTCGTTTTCTTTATTCATCTAATTAACAATTTAAATTATATATTAATTCAAGAGGAATGATTTCAATACATTTTATTAGATTATTTTTGGATATGAAAAGCATATTGTAAAATAGAATAAATTATAGAATACTGATAAATAAATAATAATAATATAATCATCAACTTAATGCGAACATAACATTTTGAAAATTCTCTGTTGGTTGGAAAGCTTTGGATAGGATCAATTACTGATGCTAGAATCATATTAGTTGTCTTAGTTTCTTATACATTTCTTTAATGTAAAAATCTAATTATATCAATTAGATTATTTTATCTATTATTTTTCTGTAGATTATTATTTAGCAAATTCATTGAATTGGATATGTATTGTCCTTTTCTTGTATAGTTACTTATGTGGAACATTTACAGAACCAGGAGTAGTAAGAAGGCTTTAACTAAATGATGAAGAATCTGTAAAAACAATATAATCTAATGATAATGATAATGTGAGAATTTTTGAAAATAAAGACTACTTTTAAGAAAGATTTTGTTCAAAATGTAAAGTTATCAGACCTCCAAAAACTAATCATTGTGATAATTGTAATAATTGTGTAAAGTTGTATGATCAGTATGTATTTACAGTATCATTATAGTCATTTTACACTTATGAGCAATTGTATAGGATAAAGAAATTACAAGTATTTTATAAGTTGGATTTATACTCTTATCATTTAATTTATAATCTGGTATTGTACACTATTTTAACACACATTTTAAATGTTTAAAATGTCTGAAGCTTTAGAAAGATTATATTAATCATAAATACTTTAAGGTGCAGTTCTGGGTTTAATAATATCGTTTTATTGTTCTTTAAAGTAAGAATTATAATTATATTACAGTCGAAAAAGTATTTTTTAGACTATTATCAATTGGATAATAATCATTTGCTTTTGTGTTTGCTTATATCAAGTATACAATTTCGAAAAAAACTATTATGAAAACTATTTTTGTAGTCTAATTTTTGTAATTATTACTTTTCCTGGGGCTTCAGTGTATTTTATCTAATTCAATTATTATTTAGAGCTTTTGCTGTTGCAATTTTATAATCTTATCATATATCAATTGGAGTTAATTTAAATGAATGGTCAACTTTAGAAAAACAAATTAATCTAATTAATGGATTTTCTCATTAAACGAGAACTTCAGAGGATAAAGAACAAATAATTTAAGATTAAAAAAATTAATTAGTAATGGAGTCTCAGGATGATATAGAATTGAGAAAATAAATTATATAAGAAATTAACGATAATATTTAATTAAAGGGCAATTTATCAAAAGAGAAAATAGAATATATTTTCTAATAAAGAAAAGAATATCGTTTAAATAAAAAATAGAGTAGAAATGCAAATCTTTAGGTTTAGTTTCTTAAATAAAAGGCTTCATTAAAGAATTATTTTACTAATTTAATTAAATTAGTTTCTGAGAAATAATTTTAAAGTGAGTTATATTGAATTCATATTAGATATAGATATTCATTATTCATTTTCCATTCTTACTCATCCATTATATTGATTTTTGATTTCTTGATGTATATTGTTCTTATTAAGGTGTTGGATAATATTAATTAGAATATGCTTAAAGACTTTCTTAACTGAAGTTATTGAAGTATCTTGATCTCAATTGCATTGCAAAAGAATTTTATCTATCATATTGCTAAAAAGAAGATCTTTCATTTATAATAAATTAATCTTGTTGAATTTAAGATTAATTCATTTGATTGTATGACTAATTTTCTTTTTAATTGTATCTTGAAAATTGTATTGATGATCCTATTGGCTAATTTAAATATTATTAATCAATTTATTATTATTGACCTTAATATTACGATTATTGAGATAATTATTGTATTTGTTATGATTATTACTCTATTTTTTATTGTTATTCTAATTCTTATTTCTGTATAGTTTCTGTTCTTCTTACCATTAACTTTTTTTATCTCTTTACTTTCTTAGTTACTGGTAATTCTTCATCTTTCTAATAAGCAGGCGCCATTTCTAAGATCTATTCCACTATAAAATTATAATTTGTTTATTATTCTTCCAATGGTTCTTCCAACTTTGTCATTTCCATATATTTTTGATTGACTATGTATAATGTTAATTATTGTGAAACATTTGTGAAAGCAGGTTCAATTCTTTTAAATAACTCACAAAATTTTTCTTCTTTTATAAACTCTCCTATCTTATCAAACTTTTAATTATTTCTCATTAATTTTATAGTGTAAAATGCTGATAATGTTACAAATAGTAACTCTCTCTTATATAATGAAATATCAGGTATAAATTCTGCCTATATTTTAAGAAAATCTTTAAAATAGTTGAATGCACAAGTTCTATTTCAAAATTATATCAATACTTTATCTCTTATGAATAGTTTGGCTGTAATTTTTTACCATAGTCAAATTACAAATTCAATAAATGCCAATATACTAATTCTAATTCATTAAACTCCATCATTTTGCACAATCCTAAATGCATTTTGTATCGATAACTTTATTCATTTTTAGTCATTACTCTAAGAAGATGGTTCAAAATAAATGAAAATTCTAAGATGATAGATAGACATTTTTCACATACATTTATATAATAAAGAGTTTGCTAGCTCATCTTAATCTAGTTATTTGATTTTGATACCTAGGTCTTATGTTTTATGAATAAATACCATTATTAGTTGTTTCTTGATTTTCTTCTAGTTTTTAAGCTTATTTTAATGAGTCCATTAAATTCAGAAATTAAAACTTCATTATCGGGATATAATTAAACACAATATTCTTTAATACTTAATATCAATCCTCTTTTTTTTGTGTTATTACCTTCTGAATTATTCACTTAAAATAATTTTTGAAAAAATAATACTTGTCTAAAAAGTAAAAACATTAATTCTTATATAAATCAAATTTTCAAGTTACTATCTCAATGTTTTATTTCTCGATTATATTATCGAACATCTGTTTTATTTATTCCATAAATTTCATTTATTTCATCATTTTCAAAAAATAATCGTAATATATAATTAATTTAGATTTAATCGAATAAATAGCAATTTGAAGTAATCTTTTTTTTTTTTTAAAGAATGCTAATTGAAATTAGAAAAAATACTTTTTTCTATCAAAAATAATTACTATACTATATAAGTTAAATTTTTCATAAATGATTAATTAATAATTTTTTCTAATTCTATTAAAAATGAAAGAAAGGTAAAAAAGTATTTACTGTGAAGATGATCAACATTTTCATAAAGGAGAGATGATTAAATATTTGATGATAAAAAAAGATAAGGGTACTATTAAAAGAAGATTATTTTGTGATGAATGCTATTTAGGAAAATATAGTTCTTATTAGTAATATTGTTGTGATATCTAAGAAGTATTTATTCTTTATATTAAAACTTAAGTTGATAAATGGTAACATATTCGAAGCATTCAAAAATACAAAATTTGATAGTGATAAAAAATAAGAGTTTTTCAACTATGCTAAAAATCACTTTCCATATTTAAGTGAGAAATTTATTTAAAATGTATTGAATTATAAATATTTAGATGATAACTAGGCTTAGGGAAGAATTAACATCAATAATTGATGATCTTGAAATTTTACTTTATGAGAAATATAAATTATATTTAGCAGATGTTGAAAAATGGGCAAAAACAGAAGCTCTTAATGAATATTTTGATTGTAAGGAATTTAAGGAAAAATTCCTTGATGGTTCTTTTTAAAGAAGTCCTTTTAAATTTGAAGAATTAAATAAAACAGCAGAAGAATTTGTTGCAAAAATTAATACCACAAATGATGATAAAATGAAAATTGATATAGAAAAAATAATCAGTACTCAAAAATAATTGTAAATATTAATTTTTATTAATTAGTTTTAACTTAGATAGATTTAATGTTATTTTTAATGAATTATTATAGTCAATTGAAACAATGAAAGAAAGAACATTTTCGGATTATAAATTTTCAAAATCTTCTTTAGCCACTCCATATCTTGAGAAGATCATTCAAAAAATAGCACCAGGAAATGAAGAAAATTTTCATAAGGCTATGAATAGAATCTATAGATTTACTTAGAATGGATCAAATTATCAAAAATTATAAGAAATCAATGAATTATAAATTAAAGATACAATAACAATAATTTAAACAAAGAATAAAAGCATTTTTGGAGTTTATAATTGTAAAGCTTTTCCATAGAATTCAATTCTATTTTAAATGAACAAAGAAAAATATTTTTAATTAAAACTAAATAAGTAAGCCTTAAAAATAAACCTAAATGCTGATTTGTCATCTTGGATAATTAATTTTGGAGAAGGAGATATCCTTATAAATTCAACATTCACAAAATGTACATCTAATTTAGGAAATGGGTTTGATATAAGTGGATCTGATATATGGAATAATTAAGAATATCTCTCAGATTGCTTATTATTTGACATTTATGATATAGAGATTTTTGAAGTTTAGGCTTAAGAGCCTTATAGATAATAACAGGTAACAAATCCATCTATTGGTACTGGTGGTATGTCCTCTACTGCTGGGGGTCGTCCTATTCCACCTCCTGGTGTACAATTTCAATCTGATGGTCCTTTTCAACCGCGAGGTCCAATTGGACAATTTCAACCTCCTGGTGGACAAATTCAACCTCCTGGTGGACAAATTCAACCTCCTGGTGGACAATTTCAACCTATTGGTATTAATCGATAAAATGGGGCTAGTCAAAGTTTTTAACCAAGTAATAATAATCCTAAATGATGAAGTTTTAAATAAAATAAATTATCTAATTATTATAATATTTAATATTAATATATGTTTCATTATTATGAGATATTATATTCTATCTCTGGATTATCAATTTAATCAAATACTATATATTAATAAATTTAATTAGTTATATTTATAAATTATTCTATATCATATTTTATTTTTTTTATTTATAAAAAGATTTTCATTTAAACTTGAATCTAAACTATTTAAAATTATTACTTCATTTTCTCAATATCTAATCAATATATTTAACTCTAAATTATTTTTTTTAATTTTCAATAATTATTTGAATAATTTTATACTTACTTAAATTGCATAGTGAAGTTTCTTTTTATGTATATACAATTTTGTAAAATTCTATATAAGGCTACTAAGAATTAAAGAATTCTGGATTAGTTTTCAAAAATATTTTGATTATAATCTACATTTCTACATAAGTTCTTTAATCATATTTATTTATGATATTTCATTCTTATAATTGTTATTGAGATTAATTAAAACAATAAGACATGTTTAATTTCAATACCTAAATTGATAAATTAAAGCCTTTATAAATAATTATTAACTAGGTTTATTTCAAAAAAGTATTTTCAAAATTTTTTATATCACATTTGAGCAGACATATTCCGAATTCAAATTTTTTTTCTTTTGAGTAGTTGTTATAATTGACAAAAATTATATATTTCACTTAATTTTGGGTTAAAAAGAAAAATAAAATTAATTAAATTATTAGTTGAATATCTTATTAATTCTCTTTAGTTAGAATAAACGATGGAAATTTTAAAAGTAATAAAAAATTTAAGAATTTTATCATTTATTTTTAAATAAAAGAATTCCAATAAGAATGACAGTGATATTTACAGAAAATTTTCTATTTTTATATCAAACCCTAATAGCTTTATAATATTTAAACAAAAAAAAGATTCATTAATTTTTCACAAAGGATGATATTTATGAAATAAGAGAGTATCAATATTTTTTATATAATTTGAGTAAATAATATTTGAGGATAGAAATTAAATTTTATACCAAAATATAATACAATGCAAAAATAAATATAGATAAAGGGTAAAAATAGATAATTTTAATAAAGAAAAATTTTGGTATGAATATGAAATAAGCAATAAAAAAATTTATTATTAAAATAAAATAATCATAAAATTCCAAATAGCATAATGAAGGATACTTTTAGTTTTTAATATATTATTGATAATATTTATTTTTATAGTTTGAACTTTCACATTTGATTTGTAATAAAATAATAAATAAAACCTTAAATAAAAATTAGAAGAAGTAATTTTATAAAGTATAGCAAATTGTGCCAGATATTAAATCAGCTTATCAACCAAGGTTGATTAAGAAATAGGAATTCACAATTACTTTCAATGATAATTATAAAAGAATACCTTTAAGGAAAGGACTGTGTTAATATATATTATAAATACAATTAAAATTTATATGTTTATTGAATAAATAAAGCGTTTGAGAAATAATTAAAGAATTTAATAAAATTATTTCGTATTTATGGATTTCATAAAAGAACTCTGTGAAATATGTTTCAATGATGAAAGTAGGACAGTAGAAATGAATTGCAAACATAAAATATGTTTAGAATGTTTTAAAATTGCAGTTTTACCAAAAGAAATATGTCCATTTTGTAAATAGATTGTGAATAAAGTTTTGATTGAAAATAAGATATAGGATATATCAGAATTTGAAAAGCCAATAGAAAAGGAGCAAGATTTTGTATATAATTAAATTGATATTTTATTTAGTTTGAGGAATCTCATTTTGAATTAGTGAATGAATAATTTTTTGATGAAGATATAAGAATCTTAATGAATAATTAAAATAGAGCCAATTAATATATGATGCGTACAATTCGTTAGACAGATTAGTAGTTTAACCTAAAATGGTTTATTTATGATTAAATATCAGAATAGATAAGCAATTTGAAATTTAGAAATAGTTTAGAAATGTTTCAAGAAGTATATAAATAAAATGATGATTAGATTAATAATTTGAACATTTGTTTGAATTTAATATTATCAAATAATTGGGATCAAATATAGTTTAAGGATTATAAGGAAGCTTATAATTTATAGAATCTGGAGGAAAATTATTAATTTATAATTTAGAATAAAGTAAAGAAGAATAAGAAAAGAAAATAAAAACAATGATAAGTTATTTATAAATAATTTTGCTTTGAATAATTTATAATAATAAACACACCAAAATGCAGTCAGAATCAGAGATATCAGAATATGATGAAAAGAAATTTGTAATACCAAAATAAACAAAAGACTTGAAAGCATGTTAGTAATGTGGAATGGTTATGACAATGGAACAATGGAATAGAGAAGTAGAATGTCCAAACTCTTGTAATGCTTCTTAGACAAAATTATTTTCAGGGTAAAATTTAGTTATAAATAAAAATAGTTTAATATGTGTATTGAAACCATCTTAAAGTTGGGTAATGAGAAAATTGGGAAATCCAAGAAGTATTCATCCAGGATTATATGCAATAGATGTATAAGCAGATTGATAATGAAAGATATATATATATATATATATAAATAGATATTATTGTACTTATGCTAAAATAAATTGTTTTCATTCTTCTTTATTTGGTTTTGCTCTCTTAGCATTCTTTCTCTTTCTTCTACCTTCTCTTCCTTATCCAAATGGTGAAGTAACAGCAAAATCAACTAATTTTTCTGATTCTACTCTTACTAAAAATGATGGAGAGTTTACTAATCTCTTTCCAACTCTAAATAATAATAATAATATTATATTATACCTAAAATGTCGCTATCTAATTAAAGTTCTAGCGTGATGAATTGATGATGCTTAATTGCTTTTAAATACAAATGTTTAGAGTCTTCTTTCCATCATTTTTTATGTTGTTAGACCTAAAACATAATCCAACTTTCTTTCTTATTCTGATAATAAACCATAACGAACCATTCTTCTAATCAAGGCTTCTCCTTCAAATAATCTTCTTGGATCTTTTGGATCAAGAGTTAACAATTCTCTTGCTGCCTTTCTAATTCTAGCCAATGTAAGTTGAACTCTCCATACTTCTCTCTTGTTTTTGAGTCCATATTTACCAATAATTTACAATCTAAAATTTAATATTTATTATTAATTACTCATTGTCAAGACGTTCCTTTTCAAAGGGTTTTCTTGGAGTGTCAGATGTCTTTGATCTATTTCTATAATTCTTTCCCATAATAAAAAAGATTTAAATATATTTTAAATTTATTCACAATTAAATAAATCTCTCTGCTCTTATTCAATTATAACTAGAATTCATTTCATATTTTATATATTTATAAGACTTACAAATAAATTATTTTAATGTATATAATTATTGCATCTGTCATCATTCTTGCTATCAGTTTTACTATTCAAATAACTAAACTCAATCCTAAAAAAAAGTTATATATTTTGGATATGTTTCTTATTACTCTAGGTGCTATGGCAATCTATAGTGAAACTACTCATAAACTTGGTGATTTTACAGAACAATTATAAACTTCATTTTCTAAATTATATCCCATTGAATATTCATTAGACGAACTCATTCTTAAAAATCAAATATAACAACATTCATTTATACTCTATTATGGAATGAAATAGAATGGAATTTCTACTTTCTTCAAATTCATCATTAATAAATCAATCAAAGAAAGTTAATAAGCTATCTACATTAATATCTAATCTGAAATTCAAACTTAAGAATAGGCTTTGTAGTAATTTGGCACTAACAATCTACATGAACTTATTCATTTTACATAATAAAAACCAACTACTATTGCCATTCATAATTTACATCTATCCCTTCATAAAAAATAATGTTTTATCTGTTAAATTTTAAGCAATCTTCATAAATTTAACACAACTACAATTCTTATTAGTGCCAAAGAATTACACAATTTAAATTATATGTTAGATGATTATAGTGTCAATGTTATGGAAATTAAAGAATTTAATAATGGAAAATAATTACATTTTAGATATGACTGGAATTAAGACTCTATTTAATATGCAAAAAAATATGATGGTATTACTATCTTTCTTTATATAAGATATTGTCTTGTAAAAGTAAAAAGAATTTGTGAATACTTTGACTGATACTGAAAAATAATTAATGGCCATTATAAGAAAACAAATATGCAAAATTAAATGTGAAAATTAAAATGTTAAACTTGATGATTTGTAAATTCTTTTATCTTATCATAGAAACTATCAATATTCAGATTTGAAGTAGATTGTTTAAAAAAATTATGTGATTGCTTAATTTGGATATGTGAAATTTTATAATAGTTTTATATTTGAGTCATTGCAATATTTATGAAAATCAATTCAAGTTATCACTAAAAAAATAAATATCACGAATTCTATCAATATAATTATCCAAAGACACCAATCATTTGTGTATGAAAGTAATGTTTTTAATTTTGAATCAGCCACTTATATTTCATTTGTTGCTTATTCAACCTAATATTTCAAAACAAATTTTATACATTGTTATTTAACTTAGTTAAAATTACCTTATCTTCTTATAAAGCTAAATTAATAGTTTTAGAATTATTTGCCATTATATCAGTTGTCTATAACATATTATCCAAGATCTAATCTTGTTCTTTAATCAATGTTTTTTGAATTTAAACCATCTCAGTATCAGATTTATCACTGTAATTCTTATTTGTCGATGTCTTAACCTATTTATTATCTATATCTTTCATACTATATCAAAGATTTGTTTAGATTATAATGCTCTTCCAAATTCATTAGATCTATTTTAAAATTCATCCAATTTATTTTTTTATCTTTATATTTCATTTTATGAACTTTATCAGCATATAATTCTTACAGATTTTTCATTTTATATAATTCTGTTCTCCCTTATTTTATAAATTCATTTATATTATTTATTTATTATCCCAATTGTCTGTCAATCTAATTCATTATTATAATTACTAATTAAACAGATTCCTTCTAATGCAATCTTTGATTCCTTTAATTAATTCCTTAAGCTATTATTACATCAAGTTTCTTAATCTCCTCAATGATGTCTTAAAATTAAGTTCCTCCACTCAATGCTGTGTAGTTATTCATATATTAATTAAAATAATAATGTATATAATAAAAACTTAATTTTATAAAAAAATACATTTAAAGAACTCAATGTAAATATTTAATCAACTATTCAAAAATAAATAATAAGTAAGATTGAGTAAATCCTTATGAAATGTATTTTATAATAATTCTTGAATTACTAAAATTGTTCTTAATAAAATATTTATTATTATCATTTTAAGAATGAGTAAACTTCCATAAGGTCAAAATGACAATTAATCAGATAATGGCAGTGTTAATAAGATTAGTGATAAATAGAAGATTAGTACTTTAAAAAAAGCTGTTATTGATTTAAGAGAGGAAAAAGCTTAATTTATAAAAACAGTGCAAGAATTAACATAGAAAAATATTAACTTAACTTAGGAAAAGTCAGATTTAGTACANTCCAAAGACACCAATCATTTGTGTATGAAAGTAATGTTTTTAATTTTGAATCAGCCACTTATATTTCATTTGTTGCTTATTCAACCTAATATTTCAAAACAAATTTTATACATTGTTATTTAACTTAGTTAAAATTACCTTATCTTCTTATAAAGCTAAATTAATAGTTTTAGAATTATTTGCCATTATATCAGTTGTCTATAACATATTATCCAAGATCTAATCTTGTTCTTTAATCAATGTTTTTTGAATTTAAACCATCTCAGTATCAGATTTATCACTGTAATTCTTATTTGTCGATGTCTTAACCTATTTATTATCTATATCTTTCATACTATATCAAAGATTTGTTTAGATTATAATGCTCTTCCAAATTCATTAGATCTATTTTAAAATTCATCCAATTTATTTTTTTATCTTTATATTTCATTTTATGAACTTTATCAGCATATAATTCTTACAGATTTTTCATTTTATATAATTCTGTTCTCCCTTATTTTATAAATTCATTTATATTATTTATTTATTATCCCAATTGTCTGTCAATCTAATTCATTATTATAATTACTAATTAAACAGATTCCTTCTAATGCAATCTTTGATTCCTTTAATTAATTCCTTAAGCTATTATTACATCAAGTTTCTTAATCTCCTCAATGATGTCTTAAAATTAAGTTCCTCCACTCAATGCTGTGTAGTTATTCATATATTAATTAAAATAATAATGTATATAATAAAAACTTAATTTTATAAAAAAATACATTTAAAGAACTCAATGTAAATATTTAATCAACTATTCAAAAATAAATAATAAGTAAGATTGAGTAAATCCTTATGAAATGTATTTTATAATAATTCTTGAATTACTAAAATTGTTCTTAATAAAATATTTATTATTATCATTTTAAGAATGAGTAAACTTCCATAAGGTCAAAATGACAATTAATCAGATAATGGCAGTGTTAATAAGATTAGTGATAAATAGAAGATTAGTACTTTAAAAAAAGCTGTTATTGATTTAAGAGAGGAAAAAGCTTAATTTATAAAAACAGTGCAAGAATTAACATAGAAAAATATTAACTTAACTTAGGAAAAGTCAGATTTAGTACAGTGAATTCATTATTTAGGATGAAAAATACAATTCCATGATTAGAGATTTGTAATTATAAATTTAAACTCTTAACACGATTCAAGACAAATAAAGAAATACTCTAGTAAACTCTATCGGATCTCCTAGATCAATTCTTTAAAATGACCCATTAAATAATAATAACAATTTCACAAAATAAATAAAATAGCTTTAATAGTAAAGTTCATATTTATAATAAGAGAATTAAAATAGAAAACAGATGATCATGAAGCCCAACTGTAAATTCTATAGACTGGTTATAAAGAATTAGAAAGAGATTTAAAATCCAAAGATTATTAGATTGATAAACTTACTAAAGAAGTTGAAAATAAGAATGCTTTAATTACTTAATTAAGAAAGAACTTCGATGATGTTGAGAAAGATCTATAAAATAAGATTAAAAATTTAACTGCAGAACGAATGTAATTATAGTTAAAATTAAAAACAATTGAAAAGGAAATTCAATAAAAAGAAGAAGAAACAAAAGTAATATAAAAAGGATTTGATGATTCCAAATTTAGAATTGCTTAACTATTGAGTGAATTGGAGGAAACAAGAGAAAAATTCTTATAATACAAACTTACACTAAGTAATTAATTCTTAGATATTGAATGTCTTTTGATTCTAAGATAAAATTTGTTTCAAGAATACATATTTGAGCTTGAAACTTCTGCTTAAAGATTTGTCTATAAAGCAAGTGATATTACAGATCTAAAAATTAAAGATGATCAGTCATTTTATCTAACAGTAAAAGCTAGAAGTAGAGATGAAGTTTTTAAATTAAGTCCTGGATAAGATATAAAAAAAATATGTAAATAAATAAAGTATTGAATTAATTTAAAGAATAGAAACTTTTTGTAAAGAACATAATAAAGTATTGCTCTTCAGTAATCTAACTAAATTTAGAGTCCTAAGAATAATAGTCTTTTTGGAGGAATTATATCAATGTTTGGAAGCGCTTCTTCAAAAAATGGTAGCAATACTAATAGTGAATAAAAATAGAGATGAGGTTTTTGATTGATTAATACATATGTTTATACAAATTAATTAAATTAGATATTGAACACAAATTTAAATAATATATAGAATTGGGTATTTAAGCAGAATTAAAATTAGTAAAAATTTAATAATAATATAATTATATTATAATTAATGATGATAAAAATGGGAATCTCTCTGATTTTCATTGATGCACAATATTAATATTATCTGATATTTTATATGATATTTCTCTAATAATTTATTAATAAAAATGAATATAATCTCACATTAAACATATAATGATGTAAATATTGAAGAATATCAATAAAATGGATGGAATTTCATTTTTACTAAAGCTCTAATGAATAATACATCAGATTTGGATATTTTTTAAGATTCATTGACTCTTAAAGGGATTCAAGACATTACAAATGGTAATAATTGTTGATTGATTTAAAACAAGTAATCTAATTTTGGTTGATCCTAAAGTTGCTTTAAATTTATGCAATTATTAACCAAGAGAAGCAAATTTAATTGTTATCTAAAAGGAGATGAAATCGAACAAGTTAAACTAAATTTCAGTATTACAAGAATAAGCCTAACTTAAATATTAAAATATTAGGAATAAAAATAAAATAATAAAGATATAAAAGTAGTAAATAAAATATCTCATAAATTTATTTATATCTTTATAAGGGTACAATAGAGGATGGAGATCAATTCATTATAATTTTAAAGTAAAAAACAAATTACAAGATTAAGGGAAAATCAATACTCTAAAAATAATTGAATAAAAATCTTATAAAGACTGAAGTTATATATTTAAATTAAGTTTTAATACAAAATCATAAATATTTCATTTTTAATCTAAAGAGGATAAGATTCCTTTGGATAATTTATTTAAAGTTTTTGAATATTATAAAATTAATAAAGCCAAACACAATAAAATGGGTATCTCATATTTCTTTATTAGACATGAATGAATTCTCTAATTGTGAATATAGATTTAGAGTTATGGGATGATTGTTTTTTTGGATTGATATGTAGTTATTTAAGAATTAATAATGTTTTAATAAGAATTTTTGATACATGAATTTATCATCAAATTTTTTGGGTTTATGTTTTAAGAGACTTCTCTCATAATAGAATGGATCCTTAATGATCGATAGATCAAAATCAATCTTTTATAATATTAAATTCAGTTCCAATTTAGTTTCATATTAATGATAAAATACATTTTGAAGGCTCCATAACTATTAAATTGTATATTATATATTAAAAATTACAATTAAATGGAATGATTATTTATTTTATACAAGAAATTAATTGTGAAAAAAGTTTTCAATATAATTTTAAAATAAAAATTCGAACTTCAATTTATATTAATTCCAGCTTACACTAAACTATCTAAGAGCACTTAATGAAAATCCTATAATCTAACTCTTCCATCTTTATCTTTGTCAGCCATAAGCATCCAAGATTTAGCATCTTATTCTGTTATTTAATATGGCATATTCAACTTTTGATAAGTTTCTTATAATAATGCATAAGCCTAATATTAAAATTATTTCAACCTCATTTTGTGTTATGAAACCATTTTTTTAAAATTTATTAAAAATTCTTTCTGCCAATTCAAGCTTTTTTTGAGTTCGTGTATTGTAGTTCTAATATTTGTTATGTTCTGTTTCTAAAGGATAAACAAAAGTATTTGATTATTAACTCAAAGGTTATAATTTTGAGTTTGAAATAGTCTAAAGGGCTTATTTATCTAAAATATATTTTTCAATATATGATTCTGATATTGGTTTTTAGGAAAAATTTCCAGTTTCTTATTTAACATCCTTTTAAACTATAATAAAATCACTTTCTTATTTTTATTAAATATTTTCAACGACGTAGCTATGATACTCTACTTATATTGGTGGATAACCAGTTAGTTCTTAAGCTTACATATTAATTTCTAATTCTTGTGATAATAATTATTTTGCATTATTTTCAACATCATCTTCTGTAATTGAATTATCTTAATTTAAATCCCAAATCTAAGCATATTATAATAAATCTTCATCATTTAAATGAGGCATAGGCAAATTTAATTTAGCATAGCAATCTTCTAACATTCTATGTACTTTATACATTCAACAAAATTTTACATGAATTGTTATCTAAGGTGCCATCTACCATATAATCTTTAAATAAATTTTATCCAATTTTAGCTGCTGTTTATTAATCACAAAGCATTGTTATTATTAAAATAAATAATTTTATTTATTTAAATAAATGAATGAATGTACATATTGATTATTGGGGATTTTGCTTTGTGAAATATTTATTTTAGAAGTTATGAGGAATTCTATTAAGTTGTATAATAAAAAATAAATCTCATTCTTATAAATTGAATATTAAGATTGCATTACATAAACTCATTTATGGAATTAAAAAAAACTACAATAATTAGTATTAATAGAAAAGAATAAATTTAGAATTCTGATTAAGATTTTGATATAAATTAATTTATTTTATGGATTATTAAGAATTATATGAATTGCGCAAAAAAATTGTGGATTGGAAAAAAAATCCAAAAGAAACTATTAATATCTTAAAATAATTAGAGTAAGCTTCACTTGAATTTGAAGCTGTAAATAAATCAAAAATATAAAAAAGTACTCACACTCTAACAACTATAGATGATAAAAGTGAACCTTTAATTACAACAATTAAAATTTAAGCATCTAAAGTTCAAGATAAGTTAAAAAAGTTATGTCAAAATAAATAAAATGAAATAAATGTAATTTAGAAGAATTAAGAAGAGAAGACTGAAGAAATCAAAGTTTAAAAACAGAATAGCATATAAAGTAGTAGATCTTTACCTGATATTGATTTATTCTATAATTATAGAGTGCCTTAACCATCATATGTTGATCGTATTAAATATTTAACAGTACTAAGCAAATTATTTATACTTAAAATCTAAACATTTAAAAATTAAGATGATTTAAGTGATTCAGACTATCAAATAATAAAAGATTGTGTAGAAAAAATGGAAAATGGAATTTATTATAAAAGAAATACTGAAAATAGCGCTAGGAAAGCATATGAATAGGATTTAAAAATTTTAGCAGGCTTTTTAAAGAAAGATAAATATGGTTAATTAACATATAGGATTTTTACAAAAATATTTGATCCTATAGTTGCAGCATAATTAAAGTATTATAATTATAAATTAGAGCTGGTGATTGGGTTGATGATGAAACTAAATAAGAATAGAGTAGAATAATTAGAGAAAAGATGGAAGCTGAATAGATAGGATTTTATAAAGACCTAAGTAAAAGAGAAATGGAAGGTGTGGAAGGTAAAATGTGTAAAGGATGTGGTTAAAAGAAAGTTTATTTAGTTGATGAAAAATAAACAAGAGCATCAGATGAACCAACTACTAAGTTTTTTGAATGTTATAATTGTGGAGATAAATTTAGAATATGTTGAATACAATCATATCATATTTAATAAATAACCTATTACAAAAGGACAAATTATATTCAAAATAAATAGCAATTGTTCATACATTCTTTTTTTTATTCTTTTTCTAATAATAAATTACTATTATCTAATATATTATATTTCTTCCAATTCTCTACTACTTTGACTTAAAATAAGTTTTATTTAAAACTAATTGAATATTTCTTTGAGTTTTTGCATATTGGATTACCATTCCAATCAGTTCTAGTTTTGCAATCATTTTAATTATCTTAGGCTTTCTTAAGGATTGATTTAATTTTAGGTTCAATCTTTTTTAATTCAACTTTATGTTAAAGACCAGCAGCAATATTATTATGATAATTCATTAATTTTTAATAATTTTAGATAATTACTATTTCGATTAATATTAATATTAAATAAATGTTAGATAGTACATCTAATCATAAAAGTCCATAATTTTAGAAATCTATTAAATCAAAATAGGAACTATAAAGTTTCTATCATTATACAAAAATTATGAAATTAAAAGAGTTAAATGAAAAACCAAGTTAATTGTCTATTAATCATAATTTAAGCTAACATAATTCTATAGGATTGCGATAAAGCGATCATATAAGCAATTTTTAGTTTTTTATATAATAGAATTCTAAACATAATTATAAGAGGTAAATTAGAGAGTAATATTAATATCATTCATAATCAGCATTAACAAAAAATTAGACTGAAAAAATTAATTGGTAGAAACATAAAGAAAATTAAAAAAGAATAGAATAAGCACTTAATAAATATAAATTCAATCATTCTTTAGAAAATACTTAATAATCAATAACTAGGAGAAGAATTTAAAGGTTATCTTCAGAAACTTCAACTTAATCAAAATTCTTTATTGAATCAAGGCCAAATTCTAAATAAGGAACACATCTATAAAATTAATATTTAATTAATTCAATCTAAAAAAAATAGTCAATTAAAGCTGCAAGTACTTAACATCAAAGTTAAATTGATTAATATGATTATGAAATTTCACCAAAAAATTAAAATTTTGAGGATTTAGTTAATAAAATATTGGATAGAAAATAAGAATAATAATCAGAAATTAATGAAAATTAAGAATAAGATCTAGAAGAAGAAGATGAAAAAGAATTAGAAGAATAAAAACAAGAAAAAGAAATTATAAATAAAAAAGAAAGAAGATATGAAGAAATTGAAAAATAATTAGATAATAATTTAAGAAGATAATTATCAAAAAATTTAGTTAAATTAGATAATATAAAAAATGAATAAGCATATATTATAAATAAATAAACTACTCAAAAACTACGATAAACAAAAAAAAAGTTAAAAGCCTCTATACAATAATAACTTATATTTTAAGGTGATTAATTAGAAACAGTTATATTATCATAGTAAAAGTAACAATCAGAAGTTTAAGATATTCTTTTTGACTAAAAAACAAATAATGAAAGTCAATAAAATAATAATGAAGATTTCTTAATTAAATTAAGAGAAGAACAAAATTAATATAAATAGAATTAAATGGTATTATAAAAAGAAGATGAAAAATAGTAAATAGCAAAATTATTAGAAATTTAATAAATTTAAGAGGAGATCGAAAGAAAAAAAAATAAAAAAGAAGAATTTGTCTATATATTCCAAGAAAATAATACAGAAGAATAATTTATTAAAAAATAATAGTAATTAAATTTAGATTCAATTGAATAGGAAAGAAAGATGAGAGAATAATAACAAAGAGAGAAAGAAGATTAATAAAATAGAATTAAATAAATAGAAGAAGAGAAATAGAAAGAAATTGAAGAAAGTAAAAAAAAAGAAATAGCTTAACTTATTTAAAAATAAAAAGATGAAATTGAAAAATAAGTTTAGGAAGAAATGGCTAAATAATCTCCTAAATTAGAGAAGTAAAAAAGTGTTTTAATAATTCCTAAATAGATTATATATGAAAGAAAAAGAACTTAAGAAGAAATAGAAACTTCAAATAGATAAATAAAAAGAGAAATTGAAAGTAAGATACAAAAATAAAAAGAAGAAGATGAAAAAGAAGAATTAGATTAATTAGACTTCGTTGAATATATGTTGAGATCATAAAATGTTTATGATATTAAATATGATGTAATTCTTGTTTATTTAGATATAGAAATTTAAACTATACGAAGATAAACTAAAGAAAGTGAAAGAGCCCCCAAATTATTTGGAGGAAGATGAATTGGATATTTATAATTTTCTAAGAATTTGGAAATAAGTGAATAAAAAAGGATTAATTAAAATTTCGAAAATATAAATCAAAGGAAATAAAGATACTTGATTTATTGCTATTCTGAAATCAATGAAAGGTTTCATTACTTTTTTTTGCACTATTTAAATATTAAAAATTTTTAAAATTAATTATGACTTCAATTACATAAGAATATTCTTTAAATGAATTCCAATCATCTAATTTTCATAAAGTATGTATTTACATAATATGATTTAGCTAATAATAACTGTATTCTATGACAATGATGATTATAAAACTAGATTAGAGAAATTATTAAAAATAGTACCCCTTGATAATGAAAAATATGCATTGTCTTATTGTAAAGATGAGTAAATAGCCAAAAGTCATAATGTATATTAATATTCAAATTTAGATTTAATAATTACCATCAATTTTGATAACATCATATCCTTAATTAATAAATGGTTAAATATTTAGTATAGAACCTGCATAAATTATACTAAAATTATAGGAAATATTCGAACAATTTGAAAATGAATTCAAAAATTAATAATCATACTATTTTAAAAAAATAGAAGCTATGATTAAAGAAAATCCTATAATGATGTTTATTGTAGGTACACCTGAAAAACCTATGTGCAGATTTACATCAAAGTTAATTTAAAAATTATAGCCATTTGGAATTTAATTTGGTTTTTATGATATTGAAATTGACAAACTAATGGTTAATTATTTAAAGCTATATTCAAAATGGCAAACCTTTCCTTAAGTTTTTGTAAATGGCAAATTAATTGGAGGAGCTGATGTATTATTTTATTATATAACAATAAGGCAACAGTAGAATTAATTGAAAAAAAGGCATTTGCTGAATTAATACCAAAAGAGGCATTCATGACTAAAACTTCAAAATTAGAGTAAATTTAACTAATTTCAAAATATATCATCTTAATTGATGGCTAACCTGATCAAAATTGTGAAATTGCTAAAATATTAACAGAGAGGAAAATTCCTTATCAATTTTATAATATTGGAATGGATTAAGAAGTTAGATCAGAAGTTTTAAATTTTCTCTCTAGTTATATTGAAACATCCCATGATTTAGAACCTCTACTATTATATAAAGTAATTATATAATTAATTTTTTAGAATACAATATATAATGAAATAACTTTAAAAAAAGAATTGAGTATTTTACAATGAAAGAGATGATCAATTAATCATTAATGTATTTTATTCAACATTATTTAACAATGATTATTAGTATTTTTGCTAATCTTTTATTTGTATAAATAATACATTGAATAATGTATTTTCCAAATAGATTTAATTATTATTATTCTTTTTAAAATTTAATATAGTTTACAACTATCTTAAAATTTTACTATCATTTCAATTCTTTATAAAATCAATTAGGAATTTTTTATGATGAACTTTTCTGATTTTATATATTCTTCTCTTCTAAAGAGAAGAATTCCTAAAGTTTTAATTATTTCAAATCTTGATAAAATTTTTAAGATTTAGCCATCTCATTATATCAGCTTTTACAACATAGTTTTTTGAAAAAATGTGATTTTATCGTTGGATTTATAAAAGGTTATTATTTTGCATTACTAAACGGCAATTAATTTCTATTTAAGAAATATATATATGGAATTAAATTTTTTATTAATTTTTTGCTCTTCAATTTATTTATAAAATTTGTAACATTAATTTTTTAACTTAAATTGAAAAAAAAGTTATATCAAATTTTTTTCAATGATTAATAACTAGAATTTGAATTATCTCTACAATCTAACAATAAAGTTTTCTAATGAAAATGTATCTATTACAGAAGGTATTATATAATTATGTGTAAAGAGATTTATTTTTACTAAAAATAAATTAAGCTAAAACTTTAGTTTATTTTTTTAATATTTATATATTAATCTATAATCTATATAAGAATTTTTGAATTATTAAAAGCAATCAATAATAAATTCATTGGTTATTAAGCTCTTTCCTTCTTATCCATCAGTTAAACTTTATGTTCTTCCAATTTTGAATTCTTCTTTTGTTTGCTTTGCATTATTAATACTTATTTAATTAAAATGAGTATTATAGAGTTTTTAATTTAAAGTTAATAATTATACTTTATTTAGATTTAAATAATACTATTCAGCATATTATCATGTAAATCTTTCTTATTTATACATTTATAGAGTTCGACCTGTCATTCTAATTTAATTTTATCCTTAAAAGAAATTAGGTTTTGAATTTTCTATTAAAGATATAGATTTTAGATCAAAATATGCTGAATAAACAACTAGATTCAACAAATAATTAGTTTTATCTTTCTCATAGGTAAATTTCTTGTCATAGTTAAAGTTCTTAAATCTTTAGTTATCATTTAAGTTTAATATTAACCAGTTCTATTATCTTTTCATACATCATCTAAATTGGCAGATCCATTAATTAATCCTCTTAGAGATTGGCTTCTTTTGTTGTTTGTTTAAGAATTTCATATTCTATATATATGACTTTTAAATCTCTTGGATCATAACCATTTCATCTATGTCATTTTGTATCACCATAGACAGGAAGTTTAAATATATTAAGGCATATGAAGATTAATTTCTGTTCTATCTTTAATTATTTGTTATTTAAATTAAATATTCTTTATCTTTTTTGTTAAATACACAGTAGAAACAATTATTAATTATTATAATAATCAAAAACTATTATCAAAAAAGGATTTACAGATAATTTATATGTTTATTGATTGAATTATAGTTTATTTATAATCTAGTAAAATACAATCAATATATTTTAATGATTAATGGATAACTAAAATGAACATTGGAATTTTTAACTTTAACTATTAAGACATTCTTTATAATCTATTCTTGTTTGCTTTTGATATATATTGTAACTAAGAATTAAGAATTACCCTAAACTGATAATGTAGGAGGATTTATTAGTATTTCATTATCATTTTTATTGAGAAATTCCATTTCAAGTGGTAATCCAATTAAACTATTATTCCTAAATGGAATTTTACAATCTAATTTTTTCCCCAATTTGAAAGCCATTTGAATGACTGGTAAATTAAATGTAGCTAATTTATTAATTGAAATATACAATTCATTAATGTTTTTGGACATTCAATTTATGGAAGTGTAATTTAACTTTAAATTTAAGTATTTATTTATCCTTATATTTTTTAATGATTAGAATAAGATGCTGTAATAATAATGGTCCCAAATAGTCCTTTTTATTCTTTAATGTTTGGAACTTTTAAAGCAACCTTCATAGAGAATTACTTTTATCCTGGACAGGCTAACATAAAACGATCGTTGTAATCATATCCATTAAGTTTTCTAGCTGAATAAACATATTCATCTAAATCATCAAATTCTGTATTGTTGCATATTACTTATATGCTAATTATCACTGTTTCAGTTGAAAGATTTTAAAATTATATGTCATCTTCACATATATTTCCTGGTATTACTAATCCAAAATTAACAATTAGTTTATTAACATTTAATATATCTTTAATATCTCCTGTACTCTATTTATTTTTTAATAGTATATATTACTTTTTTTTAACGTCTAGTTGAGTTGTCTGAGGTCATTTTTTGTATGAATTATTATTTCTACAATCTAAATAATTCTTAAGAGTTCTCTTTATCAGGAGAAGATGTTGCCTATTTTAGTGATTTATCAATAATATCCTCTTAAGGTATAGATTGTTATTCATTTAATTTATTTGGACTTTCCGTTAACTAACTCATTTCTTGAACGATTTTTATTTTTTTAACTTTTTATTAAATGTTTTCAGTTAAATATAATTTATATTAAAATCATATAATTTATAATGAGCAGACAATAATTTAGGAATGCTAGAATGAGTCTCTTTGTAGGGAATATATCAAGATTGGTTGAATAAAAAGATATTGAAAGAGAATTTAAAGTCTATGGAGATTGTACTGTAGATTTTAGAGTAAAAAATAATGACAGAGTAAATACATATATTATTTTTATTAGTATGCATTTATTTAATATAAAAGTGAATAAGAAGCAGAAGCTGCTAAAAATGCTTTACATTAAAGAGATTTATAAGGTAGACGTTAGATTGATATTAATAATGTAAGGATTAAGAATTAATGTTGAATGGTCAAAAAAGTCAGGGAGATATGATGAGAATAGAGAACCTAGAAGAGATAGACAAAGAGATGATAGAGGGTATTTTTAAAATAAATAAAAGATAATCAAGAGGAAATTATGATAGATTTGAAAGAGAAAGAGAAAAAGAGAGAAAATAAAGAAGAAGAACGTATTATTAAATAATTAATGATTTTATTAAATAGTTCTAAAAGTAGAAGTAGAAGTAGAAGTCCTAAAAATAGAAGCAGTCCTTAATATAGAGTATCTAGGAGTTAAAGTGTAGATAGTGAAAATGAACCTCCTAGAGATAAAATGTAATAATTATATATATTTATTATTATTAGATTGAGAAAAAAATTAAAAGAAATGATGAGGAAAACAGATAATGGAGAATATAAAGATTGAGTTTTAACATTATAATTTTAAAATTAATTCATTTACATGACCTATAATTTATAGCAACAATTAAATCACTTATAATTAATAATTTAAATTATTTAAATATTATAATGGTAAAATATCAATTTACAAGTTAAGATGCTGAAGAATAGATCAATTTAAATACAAAGTTTTAAGAAGTTATTCTAAGATAAGCAAAAGTCATAGAATAATTACAATAAGATAATGATTTTCTAAAATAATAAATTAAGGAACTCACTTTATAATTAGAAAATACTGACTGCAAACAAATAAAATAAATTACTTAATTTAAATTCAATGAAGACTAAAAATAAGAGGCTTCTATTGATTCTTCTAATCAATTAGAAAAATAAATTGTTTAAAAAAACTAAGGCACTCTTTTTAATTCAATTAATACCAATACTACACTCTAATAACCAAATGAACCTAATTTTAACCAAAATCTTGATAATTTAATAATTAGATTTAAAACTGCTTCAAATTAGCCTGGAAATTTATTTCATTCAAATAATATTTTTTAAGATTCTCCTGGTAAAAATTAACAATTAAATGAAGAATCTATATTTGGTGGTCATATTTTTTAATAGTTGTAAAATAAGGAATAATTTAATTAGCAACAACCATAATAATAATAGAATCTTTTTTCTAATGACGATCAACCATAATCATAAAATTCAAACCTAATTGAATTTTAAGAAGAAGAAATTTAATTCTTTGGAGCTCCATCAAAAGAATTAAAAATTTTCTTAAAAAATTAAAATGAATTTTAGGAAAAGGTTGAACAATCAAAAGATATTGATAAATTATCAAGTGATGTCTAATTAATTAATAATAATAGTTAAGAATAAAATTAACAACCAGAATTGTTGAATGATTCATCATAAAATCCTAATTTATCTAAAATGAGTTCAGATAAAGAAGTTGAGATCTTGTAACCTGAAAATATGAATTAAGGATCAAATTGAGCTTAAAAATTTATTTTTACAAAGTTAAAATAATATGTTTTTTATTATTTTTTCAGTCATCATTAATTTCATTAAATCTTTCTATAAAAATAAATATAACTTTGTTAAATATGTGGGAACGTCTTCTTAAATATTATCAAATATTTCTTTATAATTGTATAATTATCAAATTTATATGATCATAATTACAAATTATTTTAGAATTGCTGCCAATTAGTAAATACAAGAAGAAAACTAAAGGGTTTTAAATATCTTTTTATCTTTTTAAGGGTATAGAATATTTAATAATAATTAGAATTTTTTCTTTTTATCCAATAGGCTAAGTGCAGAAAGAAAAATTTTATTGCTTATCAAATGGAAAGATTTTGTGAAAATTTTCCTTTTTTTATTGCAATATTTATGAAATTTATGAGAATATTTTTGGATAAAATTCGATTTTATTATCTGAGAAAGAAACTATAATTGAAAAATTATTTTCTCATCTAAAAAGAGATGTAATAATCACAATTACAAAACAATGTATATTAATGCTCCATATAAGAGAAGAATGTTATCGATAAAATTATGTTAAAATTATATAAATTTAATCTATAATCATTTTTATCATTTAATAAGTATAATTTTTTTTAATTTTTTTAAAAGAGCTAAAAATAAGAATTCGTTTATTTAATATCTCTATTTATTATCTCTGAGTTTTAATTAATATGGTAAGAAAGAATTTAATTCATATATTAAAGAGTGGTAATTATATAAAAATAATTTAAAAAAGTTCAATAATACTAATTGTATGAATAGTTAATGTGAAAATTCTTTTGATAGTTTCTTTTGTTATTTTTTCAAAAATTTGAGTATATTAGAGTGTAAAGTATGTAATTAGAAAATTAGTTAGTTTTCTTAAAAAAAGAGAGATACAATAAAATAAAGATATTTTAAAAAGATTTCAATTAAAAATGAGTTAAATTTAACTTAATGAAAGAAGAGAAGAAATAATTGATTTGAAATAAAATTTCTTATTAATTATTGTAATAATAATTTCTTATATAAATATTAATAGTAACAATATAATGGAATACGATTACATCGGAGCTATCAAAATAAAAGATGGATTATTTTTAGGAGATTAATTTGCCTCTTAGGTATAGAATTGAATGAACATTTTAGGATTTAGAATTCATTGTAACTAATAAGGTTTCCAGAATAGTTAATTGTGCTTAAAAACAAATTCCAAATCATTGGGAATCAATAGGTATAGTTTATATGTCTTTGCCATGGATTGATAACGATACTCAAGTAATATTTGATATAATAAGGTTATATTTTAACAAGAGGAACTGATAAATTAAGTAATAAAATTTATTGATGATGCATTGAATAATGGAGAAAGTGTTATTGTACATTCAATAAGAGGACACAATAGATCTATTGCTGTTCTTTGTGTTTATTTTATGAAAAAGTATAGATGGACACTTTATAAAACTTTACAATTTATGCATAGCAGAAGACCAGATTTAGAAATCAGAGCTAATTTTTTTAATCAACTTTTGGCAATAG